CTTGGACTTTTTTGGACATTTCCTGGACAATAAAATGAATGGGCCTTGGGCTGAACGAAAATAAAAAAAAAACCATAAAAATCTGAATCACTAAATTGGACCTAATTAACTATTACACCCAATTAATTCCTAACTAATAAAATCTAATAAACCTATTAAGAAAAATCTAATAAATTTCTATAATATCTAAAATTAAACATTTAATTTCTATTTATCCTAATTTCTATTATTCTATTTAATATCTAATAAAAGGAAAATAAAACCTATTTATTTTTATAAAGGAAAACTCTATTCACTAATGAAAGGAAAAAATCTATTATTTGAAAAGAATATAGAAAAAGAAATAGCAAATAAAAAAAAAAGAAATAAGAAAAGAAATAAAGAAAAAGTGAAAGAAATATTTGTGAAAAAAAAAGGAAGTGAAAAGAAACATATTTGAAAAATATAGAGAAAAATATTTTGAGAAAAGAAAAATATGTTGAAAAGAAAAGGAGAAAAAAGGAAAAAATATTAAAGTGTCGATTTAATATTTTTAAGCATTTTCTTTTAGGTTTTTTTCATAGAAGTTGTTTTCCTTTTAGGATAGCTTAGAAGCCCATTTGTTAAGGGGCTATTTTCATTCGATTTTTTTCAAGATAGAATAGGATAGCGTCCTAGGAGATTTATTTCAGTATGCAACCATTGTAATCATTTTTAGAGATGAATAAAACGAGATTTGAGCTGTGGTCCGATAGTAGCCGAACTACAGCTGCTCTGATTCTTCGTACCAGGCGAAGATATGTAGGCATAGGATGCGATATCCTAGCGAGCACACTAACGACTAACTTTTGTTCTCTCGCGGCTGTGCGATCGAGACTTTCCCGCTGACGACTAATTGAGTACCCTTTTTCTCTCTTGCCCGAGTGCATTTGAGACTCAGCCATAGTTGTGACCATAGGTTCCCGACCCTGTGAAACCAGTTGTTTTTCTCACTGCTGTGTGAGACTGTTTGTTTAGCCGTAGTTAGTCTGAACTACGTAAAGCTCTGATCTTCCATCCAATGGAAGTACGTAGGCACAAGACGCGAGGTCTTGGCGAGCCAATTTTTCCCCGTAGTCCCGAACTACGTTGACTCTGACTTTCTCTCTTGAGAATACGTAGGCATAGAGTGCGACGCTCTATCGAGTCAATTCCCTTCCGTTTAGATTTAGCAGCCGTAGATAAGATTGTTTTGCATCCAGTAGACAACCCAAGCAAGCGTGGATCCCGTCGAGTACGACGGACGTGAGGGGTGCTAATACCTTCCCCTTGCGTAACCGACTCCCGAACCCAGGCTATGGTTGCGATGACCATACCTTCTCCCCGTTTTTTGCGAGGTTTACTTCGAGCGTTTCCTTTCCCGCTCTGAGGGATAAATAACGCACGGTGGCGACTCTTCTGTCAGCCGGCGCCGATTTTCGCAGTAGCGACAGCTCAGCTATAAAAAGAGGACAGTTGGACCAAAGAAGTGGAGTTGCATTTGACGTATCGAAGTGCTGCCGAAATTTCTACTGAAGCCAATTTTACATTTTTGCATTATTTCCTTTTCGTTTCCCTTTAATTCATAGTACTGCCGTATTCATTACGTACCTTTATTTCTCGCCAAAGTAGAATCCTGCCGACATTGTGGAGGACTACTCAAACCATCGAGATCAGTACAATTTACAGGTTTTTATAAATTGAATTATTATTTTATTTTTGTCAGAATGCATGTTATATTGTTTTGTTGCCATTGTTTATTTACATTTGCATTAAGTATCATGTCTAGCTAAACCGCTATTATCGGTATGTAATCGAGTTAGTATGACGAGATTCGATATTACCCGGTGCACCTTACCTTTTTACAAACAATTTTCTGGCCGTGGTTTTTAATCTAATTTTCTAAATAAACCTTTGTCACGACAGTGAGAAGCTATTTAAAACGATTTCGCCATGAGAGTGAGAAACTTATCAAGGTTCGAGCCGACACGTGAAAGCGTGGGGTTTGAACTAAATAGCAAAAACTAGGCATTGATTTTAAACACAGCGAAAGCGCTTTAAAAGAAATCAGAATTTATTTATTTTCAAAAAGTAATTTTAACCCCGAATGGGACTGCGAGAGCGTACATTTCGCCTTAGAATTACGACCAGAGTCAACAACCATCGTGAAACAAAAGTCTTTAAATGAGTATTTTCTCCTTAAAACCATTTGTGAAAACTAAAAAGCATCGGTGACCTGTCGAATCCCTGAAAACTAAAGCATTACGTACCGATATCCTTTATTAATATATTTTTTTAAAAGTTATAAAATTTTTCCTTTACTAAGTCTCGTCAGGAAGAATCAACTAAATTTTGGCTGAGGTATCCAACAAACCTCGTTCATAGGATTCATCAAAAGCCTCGAGAATTAAAGGTGAGAGTAAAGCTATGACTAGACTCTTGTGGAAAGCCCGATGATGAATAAGGACTTTAAAAACTTTAGCCTTTATGAACCATAGTGCTAGAGGGAACATGCAGTGATATAATTGTAAGGGATCATCGGGGCAGGGCAAAGGCATCCGCTTCACCCATCGATCTTCCTAAGTTGACATTTTATTGGTTCGAGTGCTCCTCTTTCGAATTTGGTGCCCCTTTTCCTGATACGTCACCTGGACCCTTAGGCCTCCGTCCATGATGCGCGATTTTGAAAACACATCGCTTTTATTACAATTCAAACTCATTTTTCTCATCTTTCAAAAAGAGTGCACCGTGTCTTAAACTTTTGAGTGAAACTTTCTGCATTCATTTTCACTGCATCAATAAAAAAGTTTCATCATTTATGTTCTGATCACTTGTGCAATATATTTGTGAATTATATACTTGAAAGAGAAGATCAATTCAAGAAATTGATATGTATCATCTAACTTCAATTTCTTGTATAAAACTTTGATTTGTGTATACTTTATTGTCCTGAACTGTTAGAAACAAGAGAGTGAAAAGGGAGGATTGTTCTCTTTTTCTACTTTGTAAAATCATAAGGGTGTGTTCCTTATTGATTAAGTTAGTAATTTATGTATATTGGTTAGGATAAACTTGTACAAGGACTAACGTACTTCCGAATTGTGAGGAGAATCATGATATATCACCAATGTTCTTTACTTTTCTGCATTTACTGTTTTCTAAAACATCATTAAACTAAACAAATTAAATTAACACTTCATTAAAACTAAAAATCAATCAAAGTTGAAACGAATCCAAATTGAACGACAAATGCACCTAAAATTAAAGAAATCTCACTTAATTTTACATGTCCAATTCATATATTCCATTAAACTTATTTTAATTTAAAAGTTGTACTTTAGAGACACAAAAAAACTCATTTATAAAAAATTTATTTAAAAAAAATAATTAACTATATATTTTTATTAGAATTAATGCGCAAATTTTAAAATAATATTTTTCTATTTAATTTTTAACTTGTGTCGCTCAAAATTATCCTATTTTTAATCACCTTTTTAAATCAGTTAGTGATGTTGTTCTAGCATAATTCTTATTTAATTAAAAAAAAAGTCACAGAAAGAGTTGTTGCATTAGAAAAAATTTAGGGTACAAATAGCCACCTAACATATTATGTGTGTGATAACACATAACAAACCGGTTCATTACACGATTTGGCCCAACCCGACTACACTGCTCCCCCCAAAAACCCTAGAATAGGTGCATTGCGTAATTCGCATTCTTTTCGTTATTACTAACCCTAAACACAACCCTCATATATACTCTCATACTTTCCTCAGTTTTCATCAGCCAGCAGCATACATCGGCAGCAGTGGCCGCGCAGCTCCTCACAAACAACATCGGGAAGCAGAGATCAAGAAATTCCATTCACTATAGACTGTTCAACAGGTTATTCTAATGGTATAGTTTCTCTTCAATTTTTTACTTATGTTTGCCGAATATGGTTTTTGAAGGATGTGATGATAGTATTGTCGCCCCAGTCTTACTTTGCACCAAAGGTGTAACATGGTGACTGACTTCAAATCTGATCCTATTATTTTATCTTCAAATTTCAATATTAATTTTTTCGATCTGCTTTTATTAATTTTCAAATTTTGCTTTGCAATTTTTTTTCTGGGATATGATGATAAAATCTTTTAATGTGACATCCAGTCTTACTATGAATTTCATACATGGTGATAGATCGACTATCTGATCCCATAATTCAGATCTGAATCATTTGTATTCGTCACAATTATGTATAGTATGAATTGCAAGAGAAATGATGATATTTATCCAACGGTTCTGTTATAGATGATGAAAAAAACATGCACTACCATCTGATCTCTTGCAATTTATTGTATTGTTTTTATTTAATAGTTATTTTCTTGTTAATTGCCTATGGTATCTGATGTCCAGAATATAGACATTTGTTTTGTGGCTGGACATTTCGTTTTTACGGGCATATACTAAACTCTTACAGGACTTGCGACACAGGGGTTTTCGGGGTTTCTGAAATTCAAGCCTACTGTTACTAATTTCCTGTTTACATTTTGATTATTTATCAAAAGCTTTTACAAAATTAATTTAAATGATTAATCTGTGTTTTACATTTCTGCAATCCGTGATGCAAAAATTTCCGAATTATTATGATTTCTGTGATTAATTAAAGAAAAATCACCATCTTTCGGCTGAGGTTGCAGTACATATTATTTATAATCTATCGTTTATGTTCCCATTCTTTAAATCGATTGTTATTTATGCTTTCATTCAGTTCAATAGAGTACATAATTTTAACATTCCAAGTTCTCATGTTTTGTTTCTAACTTTGTTTTTCAGTTTATGATATATTTCTCTTAAAGGTTAACCTCTTCCACATTGTTTGGAAATCGAGGCAAAGCCGTGAGGGTGGGTAGTTTATATACACTACTGCTACTTTTTAGTTATGGGTTTTATTACATTTTAATTGAGATGCAGATGGAAAAACAGTTTTCATTTTTTCTGGTTGGATTTCAAATTGTAGGATAATGGGGCGGAAAGCTGGTGGGCTTTTTATCAACTCTAAGAGATTCAGTTCACTTCATAAACCTTGCATGAAGGAAATGATAATGTTTATGAACTGTATGGCTACAAGCCATAGCGATGTTGAGGCATGTGCTAAGCAGAAGGAAATATTAAATACATGTATAGAATCTCAGGTAATGTAGATCTTACTAGTTTACTTTAAGCAGTGTATATTATTATTATTATTACATGACATGAAAACTAATCACTGCATAAAAACTATTCATCTTTTGTTTTTTCAGAGCAAAAAGAACAGAAAGTCTTGGGGGAGTATCAATTATCAACTGCAGAGGCTTAGCCGAGGAAGGAAGTAGTTTGAGATTTTCTGATATCAATTATCAACTGCAGAGGCTTAGCCGAGGAAGGAAGTAGTTTGAGATTTTCTGATATTAATCATTTTTACAATTTAAGATTGTTTTCTTGAAAGCTTATCATGAAACAGCTAAAATGATCGTATATCTTTTAAAATTAACTTGATGGTGAAATTTCTTGTATTTCTCTATTTAGCCATTTAGTTAAAGTTGAAGTTGTTGGTGGAATTATTTTGAAGAATACCACCGTAATTTTTGTTCTGTATCAATTAAAGCTTTGATAAGCTGCAAATAATTTATGATACCATCACTTTGATATATAGTTTCTGTACTTCATTCATATCATTATACATTCTTTTATATTTGATGAAGATGATATCTGTGTTTCATTGTTTGACAACAATGTTGTGCTGATGAGTTATGTTTGTTGATCATGTGATGCTATGCTTTTTTAAATAGAGTTTTGAATAAGTAGAACCACTTTCTTATTTTCAAATTGATGACGATGGTGCATTGTGTTGCATTCTTGGTCTATGGTGGAATGCCGGTGACTAGTGCTCATCATATGCTTCTTCAGGCAGATTTGGGAAGGTGGGGAAAAACAGTGCTTATTATTTTTACCTTTGAACTTTGAAGGATTGCACGGATATCCCACTTTCAAGAGAATGCGCTTCACATTCAAAGTTGCGGTCTGGACCTTCTGATCACTGCCCAGGCTCAATTGGTTTCAGTTATGTTTTCTTTATTTACTCTTATATTTTTCTATAGGATGTGGGCAGAGTTCTTTGCTACAGATGTTGAAGGGTTTTGGCGGGAACATCTATTGTCTTCAGAAGCTTGTTACAGTGCAAGAACTGGGTTCACTCAAGCATTTGCATGTTACTGTCCTACTCAACAATCATCATATGTAAAGTGTTTCTATATTCATATCAAATGCGGACGGAGATATACATTTTACAGTCAATTTTTAGCTAGTTTCTGTCAAGCCATGAAGTGGTTTAGTGGTTCATTAACTTGTCTTATCTTATTACGGTCAGTTTTCCGTCTTAGTTTTCCAGCAGTGTTCCTTTAATGTTTGCTGTTTTATCCCTTATCTCGTTACTCTATTAGTTGTATCATATGATGAGGACAACTGGTGTATGGACGCAAGAGGTTTTGTAGATATTACGGTCATAGAAAGTTACATATACTTTAGTCCTTACGGTTTTGTACTCTATTAGGTTTTGAGAACAGTCAATCCATCCCCAACCCTAAGGGCTAGAGTATATGTAACTATAATCTATGGGCCAAATTGTACCGTGGAACGGTCTTTCCTCAACTCTCATTCCTCAACATACGTGAGACTAATCCTCCTCTTAGAACAGAACACCACTTCATTTGCCACACATTAAGGCGGTTAGCTTGTAATGGACATGTAATTGGGTTGGCAACTCAAGATCCAGAAGGAAATGTGCACTATGTCAGCCGGTTTTGAGAACTTTTTACGGCACTCTAAATAGTTCTTAGACATCAAACAAAATTATTTAAATGTTCCTAAATTTTAAAAATGTATTTTCGGATGCACCTATTCTTAACTAAACGTTGACTTGTTTCGAAGACACAACTGCAAAATCATTATAAGCATTCAAAACATGTATTTTAGAAGCCATTTACAATTGAATTGTTTTGGAGATATATCCTCGGTAATATTTTTGGGATATTTCACTATAAGTTGTATATTTGTTTTAAGATGAAGTATGACGCAGATCTCGAATCAAAAAATAGACGTACAAAATAATAAGAGACTAATACTGCGTGTGTAAAAAATAATATAGCAATACATGTAGAAAATGACGTACACTCGAGAACCAAAATGAAATAAAACCATAAAAATAAAGTATACAACAAAACCTCCCGTCCTTCGGTGATGTCTCCGGTACAACAGAATCCTATGTGCCTCCGTCATGATGGCATCCAGGACTCACATGACACCAGACCATAAGGGAAGATACTTTCGTCAATGTCTGCCCGTACAATCTCCACTATGCGACGACACATAGGTAAGACATCATCGGTATGATCTAGCTGAGTCTACTACTCTAGTACTCTTGATGAGTTGGTCTCGACAAATCTCCTAGAGCAGCGCCATGTACAAATGTGACACCTTAAAGAACCATGTGACCTGTGCCTCCTCCAAAACCAAATGACTCTCATAATCAGCAAACATCTCATCTATTTGTCTACGAGTCGAGGCAGGAGGAGCAGAGACAACAAGGAGTCTAGGGATGGTCTGGGTGTACCCGAACTGTCGCATAACGCGCTCGGGCAGATGAGGAGCAATGATACACGATCTACAGGCCAACCACCCGAAGTATAAACCTATCTCGTCAAATGACTGCGTCTAACGGTGATCCACATAGCTATTGAAATGCATGTCCTCAACAACCAAATAGTCAATATAGACTTTGAAAGGTTCGACTACCTGGTTACCTCTGAGTGGGATAAAAGCACAGGCTCACGACATGTCCTCAGTGTACTCGGGCACACTCGTCTAGCCAACGATGCGCGAGAAGTGCTGAAGGATCCAAATCTGAAATGAAAATAAAAAAAAACATTCAAGGATCAAGAATTATCGGCAATGATTTCACAAATATGAAATGAAAATGACAAAAAACCATTTAAGGATTAAGAATTATTACCACCAGTATTGTCACGCTGCCTGTGACCTGCTTCGTCTTCCACCGACATCCTTATCTCAACTTTGAATAAAGATAGGTCAGGCAAGCTGCCCCCTAGTTGTATCATGGATCCAAGTGAGATCTAAGTACCAGAGGTATGCAACGTAAGTATAAGTGGCACCCGCGTCCACAGAAATGCAAGTGCTAACCAGAAAAAGAAAGTATGCCCTCAAAGTACGAGCCTTGTGTACCGCCACCTGCTTAACATCACCATGAGTCTCCTTTGCACGAAGGATCTCATCATCATATTACTTCTCCGGGAACTCAAATCTAGCATGAGCACCCCTAATCCTATCCACCTCTTCCATCGCTTTCTCCGAATCAGCCCTTACATGCTCTACTACCATCTCGATTGCCTCGTCTTTCGTCATCGTCCCATGATCGAGGAATCTCCCCCTGATCGGAAGATTAAAAAACACGAGACATCGTCATCCCCCTGATCGAGGAATCCCATAATTCGGGAGATGAAACTAAGAGGTCTCAGAATGCCATCTCTCCACGAATGCATTAAGCATCCCGTGGTTGATCAGATTGTAGCCGATCATGCATAGGTCCTTCAGGCCAGATAATAACAAAACCGACTGAAACTAATCCTCCTTCTACTGAGGTAATGTAGCAATCTTCCTCCAATGGTTAAGAAAATTCTGGGGATCACGCTCCCGAAATTTGTCAGAAATAATCAATGTCAGTAATAATCAATGTCAGAAATAATCATTGCCAGCAATTCAAATTATCGTAAAAAATAAATCAAAAATCAAACTAATACTACCTCTCTGTCCTAGATATGTCTGGCAATATGGTTTGGATATAAAGGAAGTAAGGACAAATTAGATGGACCTATCCAAAACACTCTCACTCGACATCCTCAGCAGCCTCACCCTTAGAAAGTGGTACTGGATCAGCGACATCATCAACGAGAGGTGGGTCTCAATCGATAAAATCATCTATAGGAGGTGCACTAGTGAATCCTAACGCTTGCGGGAGGATGTGGGAAGTGACGCGTCAGATAGTGAATCTTGTCTCCTACATGAAGAAGAAGAATGTGAAGTGACCTGAGGTGAAACACGAGCCCCATGAGTAGACGGCGCCCCAGAAGTCGACGCCTCAGCCTGACTAGAGTTACCTGGAGCTTCCAGAATCTGTTAGCTCTGCTTTCGCCGAATAAATGTGTACTGAGCAACCCTGCCATGTCTCAGTCTGTCAACTTTGTCAGCCATTATGCCTGTAAGATAAAGTAAGGCATATCATTAGTGCATGCAAACAACACACACAAACAAGAAAATAAAAAAAACATATTGTAGAAAGTTCTGGAGATGCATCTTCGGAAACACCATAAAATTATAACGTTGAACTATTCTGGAGATACATATCTGGAAACACCATAAAACTAAAACTTTGAAGAGTTCCATATATGCATCTCTGGAATTTTTCAAAGTATATGAAACACTGAACAATTCTAGAGATGCATCTCCGGAATGTTCTGCAACACAGAGGTCACGTTATTGGTGAATGTACCTCTTGCAATTTGAAAAAAAACATGATTTTATTACAATTTTCAGCCAACAAACAAGTCATAAATTAAGTCTAAACCACGTTATATGTGATTCCTACACATTTCTAACCCTAATAATTAATTTCTACACATTTACAATAAAACTCAAAATTTACCGAAAACTCGAAAAACTTACTCGAATTAATGATTCAGATGTTGTTTCCAATATTAGAGATGATCTTTGATGTTCCTTTAAGTTCTTTACACTCTTGTTTGATGAAATTTGATTTTGGTGTAGGGTTGTGTTGAGAAAAGTGTTGAAGTTGTGTGTTAAAGACAATTGTCAAATGAGGAAGGAGAAGAGTTTGACGCGACTTATGCTCTAACATATTCTGGAGATATATCTTCGAAATATTTCATTCTTCCCTTACGCTTGGGTGCATCCAGAAATATATATCCGGAAACATGAGACATTTATGGAATTTTACATGGTGCTTAAGAAGTATATAGGGTGCCATAAGAAATTCTCCCTGTTTTTTGTTAGCACTTTCATGACACTTTTGGATTAATCGAGTCATGAATTATTCTCTTTTAAGGCCCAATAAAAATTATCGTAATCCATATCTATTGGTGATTCTTCATATCATTTGTCTTTGAGAATTTCTTATTGCAGCCTAAATGTTTCTAATGCATCAAGTGAGTTTCCGCAAATGCCCTATGTTTTTGGATGTATATCTCCGGACGCACCCCAACACATACTTATAACTAAATATTTTTTGTAGTAACACTTCTTG